ACTTTAAATTCAGTTTCAATTTAGCAAAATTCATTTTCAAACCAATGAATTCAATTTCAAATTATGAACATACGGATTCAATCTGAGCAATTCGAATCAATTCCTGCTGACACAAGATTTATCCCATACCTGCATCCTTAGTGTTAAACCAACTATCATTCAAAAGGGACTAGATTTTAAGTTTTTTTCTTCATTTTAAATGAACTATATAGTTACATTTTTAACTCCTATTGCTCAAAAACAATGATTGTTTTCATGTTCATGAGGTTCTACTAGTTCTAACAGCTAGAGGAAATTACAAATGCACATCAAGCAAAAGTTTGGAACTTGTGAAGTAAAACTGTCTGGCATTTTCTGACAAGTCTTTGCACCACGCACCCCCTGGTGGTGCTCCTGTGGCAGGTAAGCACAGGGTTAAGAATACCTGTTGGTGGTTGGGGAAAGTCCTCATGGCCTCCAGTAAGAGCTGAGTGACGGTGCTCAACAGTCGAACAGGCATTCCTGTGGCCAGGTCCTGCTTGGTCAGGTTGAACACACAAGCACTGGCTGCCAGCTGGACATTTAGAGTGGCGGGATGGTTCTTCATGCCCCAAACTACCAGCTGAAATGATACAAATTAGAAGAAATGATGTCAACTGGAATTATTGAATAACTTATGAAATGATTGTTTTAGATCAGGCCAGGCCAACCAGTAGATCTTTAGCCTGTTAGCAGTAGCTCACAGAGCAATGGATCACAGAGCTTGTAGAACGCAACATTGTTTAACATTGCAGCCTTAAACACGCTCTTGTAGAACGCAATGTTTGTTTGTTTAACATTGCATTCTTGAACGCGCTCCAGTCTTGCGAGTTTTGGGTGCTGTGAAACAGCACTCCGAACATGGTCTCGCGAGGTTAGGGTCATGTGTTAAACCATGGCAGCGAGGCGGAAAAAAATGATGAACTAAAGACAGCTAACAAGCAAATAAAAACTTATTCTTTTCACCTGGAGTGGGAAGAGGACTCATATGTAATTCGAGCGCTGCCGTGGCTTGTCTAAAAAGATAATGTGGAGCATCATTTCTTTCAAAAGAATGCACAAACGCTACGAGGTGGATTTCCCCTCCTAAGGTAAGGCTGCTATGCTAATGCAGCCCCGTACCTGCCTCAACACAGGTCTTTCAGCGATGACGAAGTTATGAAAGAAGCGTTGCAGATGTGCTTTTAAAAATAAAAGTGAGATTGTGGCTGCTATAAAGACGTGCAGTTGTCCACCAGGATGGATGGATGTGTCCAAATTCGTGTCCGTGGTTCAGTCTGGACTGCTCTGGGTTGAAAATGAGGTTTTTACTCTGCAAAATGACACTGGAATCAAATCCAGAGCAACACTTTGCATGGATGGAGAGTTGTGGAGTCTGGTTTCTCTCACATGAAAATCATCAAGTCCAAGAGCAGATCCACAAAGACCGATGATCATCTGGAGACCTGCCTGCGCCTCTCATCCACCTCAAACTGCCTGCCTATGAGACCCTGGCCTCCTCTCACTGTCAGAAGTCCCACTAAGGTAGCTAGCAGCCTCGCACCGAGGACCTGTCCATGTCATCGTTTACCCAGAATGCTTTGTGTGTAAATAAAATGGCTCCGTCCGTGTTAAAATGTATTTTTAAACTTTTAGCTTAAAAATGTACAAAACTAAACAGCCTACAGTATTTTTAC